GCGCGCCGCGGGGCGGCACCGACCTGCGGCCGCCTCCAAACTGCCGGCCCCGCCGCGGCTGGCCCGTGGGCGCGAGGCGTCTTTGTCATCTTCCCCAGGGGACCCCAGGCGCCCCCGCCGAGGATCGGGGGTTCATTCAATTCACGCGAAATCCCGGCATAGGTAAAATGATAGGAAAACACATCAGTGATTTCTTCCAAGAGCTGGGGCTGGGGGGAAGGGTTGACTACAAAGGGCTCCGAGAGATCTGCGGGTGATGGAGCTGCTCCGTGTCCTGACTGAGATCTTGGCTGCAGAACTTTCTGAGTTACATAGGTCTGAGCTGGGCATGGTTGCACCAGGCTTGAAATCTCAGCACTCGAGGAGGCTGAAGCAAGAGGATCACGGTTTCGAGCCCAGGGTGGGGAACGTGGTGATTTAGAGAGATCTTGCCTGAAAATAAGTAATAGTTGGGTGTGGTGGCTCTCGCCTGTAATTCCAGCACTGGGGAAGCTGAGGCAGGAGGATCACAGTGAGTTTGAGGGCAGCCTGGGCCACATAGTGAGTTCAAGGCCAGCCTGAACTACATAGCCAGACGTTGTCTCAAAACATAAACAATAAAAACCCTGGGATGTTACTCAGTGTGAAAGCCATGGGTTCAATCCTTAGTGCTGCAACAAAACAAAACTCAGAACTGTACACTCAAAAAGTAAATGTCACTGTATGTAAATTACATTTAAATTTTTGTAAGTCTTAAATTAAGAGCTAGGAATGTCGCAGGTAGAGTGCTTGCTTAGCAAGTGCCAGGCCCTAGTTTCAATGACCAGCATTAAAAAGAAAAAAGTCTTAAGGTTAAAACCTAAAAAGAACCCTGGGAAGCTAAGGCAGGAAGATCATGAGGTGGAGCCCAGCCTGGACAATTTAAGGAGACTGTGTCACAAAATAAAAAATTAAAAAGAGGGCTGGGAGTGTAGCTCAGTGTAAAGGCCCTGAGTTCAATCCTGGGTAACACACACACTCTCTCACGCACACATACACACAGATACACACACACAAAGAAGAAGAAGAAGGAGAAGAAGAAGAAACCTAAAGGAGGCGAAAATCATTTATGGATGTCAGGAAAGTGGTTTCCTTCAGGAATCAGGGAACCTGCCTTTTTGGATTTTGGATCTGTTCTTGGCCTGGGCAGGACTTCTGCAGGTGTGTTTACAAACAGTAATTCACTAAGCTGCAGTTTTATGAATGTGCATTTTCTGTGTGCTCTATTTCAATTAAAAAAAAAATATATATATATGTGTATATATATATCTATATATATATCTATATATCTATATATCTATATATCAATATATATATATATATATCTCCAGGATCTGTGCTGTTGGTTTAAGTACAGTGGGAGAGGTACATCAGCCACCAAACCGTAGCAGTTCATACCTATTTCTAACCAATAGCTGCCTGAAGGGGAGCAAGGCGAGCCTGTGAATGTGTGGTGAAGCAGGCTGCCCCGGTCCGGGCTTCCAGGAGTGTCTCCAAGCACTTGCAGGAAATGCAGAGCTGGGGCCTCAGCGGTGGTGAACATCAGGAGGCAGCCTGGCAAATGCTCCTCAGACAGACTGTTCTTCCTTGCACTGAGAGGCTGAGAGAAACTGGAGCACACAGGAGATGCGGGGAAGAGGAGAGGACGGGTGCCGCCTTTGTCCATGGTGTGGTACAGCTGAACACCACAGGCTGGGACTCTAGGAGGAAGAGAAGTTTGTTCAGCTCTAGGTTCTAGAGACTGAGATGTCCAATAACTGAGATGTCCTATAAGGTACACAAGATTTTGGGGACCAAGTTTCCAACACGCGCACTTCTGGGGAACATATTCAAACCATAGCACGTGGGCAGCAGTGGGGTCCCCACTGGCCAGCCGTCTGGGTTGGCCCACTTGGGCTGACTTTTTTTTGTGCACCGGACCAACCCTCTTCTCTGTCACATCACGCAGAAATTGCAGGGCATGTGGAGTGAGGGAACAGGCCAGTCTCGCTCACCCTTGTTTTCCTCTTGAATGCCAGTTTTTCCAGATGAGTCCTTCCATTTCTGGCAAGGTGGCTGTGGATTCTCCATGTCATGGACCTCAGCATTCACATGGGACCCTCCATGATGGATGGGGTGGTTGTCGCCGACTATCTCTTATGCCACAAAAGGTAGGGGGATGACCTGAGGCACGATGTACCCATGGTGACATCTATTCAGAACCATTTAAACCTCATCAGAGACACGGAGAGGCAGACTTCTCAATGTTCTTCTACTGACTAGAGAAGGAAGAGGTAACTTAACAAGGAACTTGCCGAATTGCAGTAAATTCTCCAAAGACATCAAGGAGGGCTGGGAGTGCACTGCACTGAAATGCAATGCATGCGAGTCAGTGATTTCTGCTTCCCTTGTGGAGTAGCAACAGTCTCTCTCAGGGGTGGGGGTGGGGGGAGTCTGTATGTACAGAGAAATTCTCAGGGTGTTGCAGAACAAAGATGCCAACACTGAAGGTCTTTCTGGTCCTGACAGTCATACTATAGTGACCTAAAGCCACGGATTTTCCACATATGACCCCATAATTAGTATCATTTCACTTCTGTGGAAACCCGCACAGACTAGTAGAATGGATCAGAAAGAATTTTTGTGTGTGTAGATGAACTCTGACTTCCTGTTTTAGAGATGATACATTGCTGACTAGGACATCTGAGCCTGTCTCCAGATAGGACACTGGTAAATGACAGAGTCAGGGTTCTCACCCTGGTCTCCTGATTGCCTCCTCTGACATTCAGTTCCCTGTTCCGCTCAGCCCATTTTTACACATGCCCATGGAAGGAAGGAGGTGAACTCTGGTGGCCTGTTTCCATGTGATGACAGCTGGCTGTTGATGAAAAACAAATATTGACCATCTCTGGCATTGGTAATGGAGGTGGTGCTCAAAATAACTTGTTTGTGCATGTGTCCTTGCTGCCTAAGGGCCCTCTGCCATGGGTGTCCTCATTTCCTTGGAAGCCTTCCGAACATTGCATCAGCAATTCTTTATCCAAAAAAAAGAAGAAGAAGAAGAAGAAAGAATTCTTTATTCAGCTCAGGGATAGTGTTTCCAAAGCTCCTGAAAAGGGCAGTTTTGAATATTTACTAAAATTGATCCACATCATGCAGTTCAACAATGATCAAACTATGGCCAATCTTGCTTTATCCACCTATCTCCCCATCCTGAATTCCTAGGAAGAAGGTTCCAGGTGCCACACAATTTTGACTATACATTTTTTATGTGCATTTCTGAAATTTAAGACCCTTTGGGAAAAATCACAAAATTAGTATCTCTCTAAAATTTTTCTTGAGATAGGGTCTCACTCTGTAGTCCAGGCTGGCCTCGAACTCAGGTTGATCCTTCTGCCTCAGCCTCCCTAGTGCTGGGATTACCAGTACCACACCTGGGTCACTAAAATTTTTAAAAATTAAAGTCAAGCATTGTTACTTTTCTACCACTTTGTTTGTAATTCTGTACTGTCTGTACTGTTCTTTTGCTATTTTGTAAAAGGTTGTCTGCCTGTTAATGTTTTCCTCCTTTTATTTTTAAAATAAAAAATAATTAAAGTCAATTCCTTAAAATCGTCAAATGTTTTAAGTTTTAAATTTCCAGGAATTTATTGCCATTTTTAATGTTTGCATGAATTAGGAGACAAATAATCTTCCTGTTGATGGATAAATCTCTTAGGTGTCCTTCCATCTATAGGTTCTCACTCAATTTCCTTACAGGTTGAAGAAACTGGGTCATTTGTCTGGAAAGGTTTTCCACAGTCTAGATTTGCTGACTGCATCTATGGTGTCCTTTAGCCTGTTCCTTTTTCTCCTGTATTTCTTGAAAGTGTATTTCATTGCAATTTTTTCTTTATGGTTTCTCCTTCAGTGAACTGTGAGCTCCCAGAGGATGGAAATGATATCTTGTTTATCTCTGCCTACCCAGATCCTAGCAATGATGAATACTCAATAAATGGCTAAAGAAATGAATGAGGTTGAGCAGCTATGGATTCTTTCCTCATGTAGGAACCAAAAGACTGTAGAGTCTGTCTGTCGAGGACTAGATGTCGGCCTCAACCTTTAATCTTTGGAGGGATTTTGGATTAGTCACTTAACTTCTGTTGGCCTCAGTTTCCTTATCTCAAAAATGAAATCAGAGGGGCTGGAGGTTTAGCTCAGTGGCGCAATACCTGCCTGGCAAGCATGAGGCATGATTTCGATTCCCGGTACCAGAAAAAAAACCAAAAAAAAAAAAAAAAAAGAAATGAGTAGTTGTGTCCTTCTCATAGGGGTGATGTGGCTTAAATGAGAAAAATACATGTAAAATGCATAGTGTAGTGCCTGGCAGGGAGTAAGTGCTCCATAAATATTAGCTACTATTAGGCAGATCCTACTGGTTGACTATTCTATTTAGTCAGGATAGACTGTCAAGCTAAAGTAATATATTCACCATTAAATTTAAGGATTTAGTGAAACAAAGTTTTTTTTCTTGCTCATGTTACATGACCAGGGTGAGTTAGTGGATTCTAGACACCACACAGTCACTCAAGGATCAGAAGGCCCCCTCTCTGGGTCTCCTCCCTTTACCCTGTGACCTCTACTATCCCAGGAGAAGGAGAAGAAAACCTGTGGAGGTCACACAACAGTTCTTCAGTGCTTCTGCCCAGAAGCAGCACGTATCACTCCCATCCACACCTTATCATCAGGAACTCATCTCAAACCCACTTCATCTCAAGGGCGCTGGGAAGCATTGATACCCATGTGGTGAAGAAGAAGTAGAGTATTGGAGAAAGATGAGCCCTCCGGGCCCTACCGCTCAGCCTGTCTTTAAAGGTTAGGATGGCTGCAAACATCAGTGATTCTGGTTTCTAAGAAGCAAGAGGTAATTCTTAGTAATTTCAATCCTTAGTGAAATGTAGAACCACCGCCTGATAGAACAGACAGTTCTCCACACACTAGGGCGGCCCTTAGTAAGAGAAGTCAGATCGTGTCTGTCTCCTGCTATCAATTCTCCCGTGGTTTTGTAATGCACTTAGAATGAATTTGGTACTTCCTAGGAATAGGCTAACTTCTACTTAAGGTGTCCCCTCACCTGACTGTCCACTACTTTTCTCCCTATTGTGAGCATTGCTGTTCTCTGGAACCATCATTGCACTTGTTGAGAAACTGCCGGCCTACAGCCTTGACCTATGCTGGTCTCCCCCAGATATTGCAGTGATATATGTTTCATTTAAGTCCGGTTCTGCCCAAATATCAGTTCATCAGAGAGGCCTCTGTTCTGCGATGTGCTGGCAAATGTTTAAAGACTGGCTTTCTGGGATTAGAAACCTTAACTTGGAGCGTTTGCCCATTTCCATTTCAGTCGACAGCAAACCTCGTAACAATGTGGTCCCACCGGATTACAGTGGGGCTGCGACACTGCTATCTCCTAGTGAAGTCACGGTGCCTGAAGGTCAGACTAGGCATGTCCGGCCTCGGCCTGCAGGCTGCATATGGCCTTGCACATCTAGTTGTGCAGCCCTACAAGATCCTAAACTTTTCACATTATCATGTGACTTTTAGGCATATTTTTTACGACTCAACTGCACGGTGCAGGAGTGCAAATTGTATAGAAAAGGGAAAGTGGGGTAGGGGAGGGTGCAGTGCAGTGCCAAGTCCGCCTCTGACACCAGCCACACACAGTCCCAATCTGCATGCATGAGATGGTATCCGTGCTTGCGTGGCTTGGTGAGGAAAACACAGCCATTACTGACAATAGTATTTCAACCTACCTACCCACGTGTGCACCTATGAAGACAGGCATTTATTGTTATTAAGGAAACATGGACATTTTCTTCTTTAATTATTAAACTTGGGCTTGTTGTGCTGTTCTGTAAAATAAGAAGTTGTTAAGATAATTTTGTTATTTATATACTGTACATTAACTACTATGTTTTGTATGTGGTCCTTTCCCCTCCGTGTGGCCCAGGTAAGCCAAAAAGTTGGACACCCACGTCACAGTGCAACATGTTCCTCACAAATTTGTGGTGTTGCTGGTATGCTTATTTACTCTCCTGCCAAATACATAAAACTATGGCAATACAATTATGTACAGTGGAGAATACTTGATAATGGTAACAAATGATTATGTTACAAATGATTATGTTATGGTTGAGGTATATATATTGTGTGTGTATGTGTGTGTGTGTGTGTGTGTGTGTTTGTGTCTGTGTGTGCTGCTAGGGATCAAACAAGGGCCTCACAAATAGGCAAGAACTCTAGCGCTGACTTACACACCTAGCCCTTACTATACTTTTTAATGTTAGAGTGTACTCATTTTACCTGTTTTAATAATATTTATTATAGAACCATATCTCATGCTATACTAGCAGCAGCCGCATATGTCTCAGTTTACTGTGTCTCTCAAGTGCATAACTTTCCTATGTGCTTGATTTAATCTCGCATTGCTTTGTTCGTCATGGCGCTAAATATACTTCCACAGAGCCTAAGTGTGGAGCAGGAGACACTATCTAGGTTTGTGTAAGTCAGTGGTGTGATGTTTGCCCAGTGATAAAATCATCTGAGCACACATTTCTCAGAACTTAACCCGCTCATTAAGCAATGTCTCACTGTAATTTAAAAAGCATAATTAATGGTAACAAGAAGTAAACAAGATAGAAAATGATGAGTTTTGTTTTGAATAATGGATTTACTTATAGGTTTGCATAAGTAATTTTTAATAATAGCTGTTACTCATCAGCTTTCTGTCTCTGTGAAATAATACTGTACTTGGGAAGACAAATGAAGGGAAGAAACACTTATTGGCTCACGGCTTCAGAAGTTTCAGCCTCTGTTATTTCTGAGTGTGTGTTGAGACCGTACATCGTGGTGGACGTGGGCATGGCGGAGCGAAGCTGCTCACCCCATGGTGGCCCTTTGCCATGCGAAGAGGGACAAGGGCCAGGGCCAAGATCTAGTCCCAAGTGCACACCCCACAACACCCCACCTCTAGCCGGGCCTCACCTCCCATTCACCTGTTCGGTATGATATGAGCTTATCAATGGATTAATCTTCAAAGAGTTTATCGTTATGTACCATGATGTTACAGTTTTGAGTTTTTAAATATCATCCATCTTTCCTGCTCTTTTTTTTCTGAGCGAGTCTCCAGCATCTAGTAAAATGCTGAGTTGACAATAGATGTTCCACAAATATTGACTAATGATCACTGGGTCTTACACTCATTATGAAAATAAAAATACAATAATAATATGCATAAAACCTGCACTAATGTTTTCCAAACAAGCTAACAAAGTTTACTTCCTGAATTAAACAAAGACCAGTGAACTGCTTGTCATCTGTAGAGTCCTAATTTCAAGGCCAGTGAGAGATGAGTAAGCAATGTGCTAATAGACTTGATCAGTGTACTCACTGTGGGCCATAAACCCAAAATGCACCAACAGTGAACATTTTTTGCAGATCAGCTGGAGTTTAGTGGTCTTTCTCAGTGGAAATTTAAAATATTTATTACCTATGTCTATTTTCATGATATAGTTTAAAATATTTATTACCTATGCCTGATTTCCTCTTATTCATTTTAATAATTTCTTATATTTCAACTCCTAGGAGGCTTCTAATAGTTAAAATGTAACACTTGAAGGGCTGGAGGTGCAGTTTGGTGGTAGAGTCACTGGGCTTAGCGTGAATGGGCCCTGGTTCAATCCCTGGCATTAAAATCAAACAAACAAACAATCCACCAGTGTGACCCCTTTCGCCTGCTTTCTCTTTCCTTTTTTCCCTGCTAATGGTGCCCGGGTGCCCTGCACCACCACCAAACCCACCCCTGCCTGTCCAAACCAGATCTCAAGGGGCCAGTCTTTAATTCTCATTATGGTGGGTGACCATGTATCCATCTTTATTTCCTTTTGCCCAAGGTATCTGGATATTTGACTAAGTACTAATGTACTGGTAAACTTAGAGAAAAACTGCTGTTAAAGTCCTGAGTGCTTAGCTCCTACTTGATCGGAGAGATGCCCTGCCCACATCACAATGAGAGGACAGGACCCCCAGAGAAGATTCACGGTTGACCACCTCAACACCCACTAAAGTGAAGGTGCACCAAAAAGGCATCTCCACAATGTTGAATTGAAGAGACTTAGCAGAAAGGGAAAGGTTTGTTTTCATCTTTCCTTAATAACACATAATTCCTTATGTTTCTGAAACATCACTTGTTTGACAACTGACTAGTTCGACCTTGCATTTTAAGTCAGAACTCTGTGTCTGCCCAGGTAGCTGCCAGGCCAACCATGTGCTCCAAGCGGAC